AAAGTAATTTTTGTTTATTTCATTTTTATTTGAAGATAATTATAAGGCTGTGAAACATTAAAGAATAAGGAATTATCACATACTGTTAACCCAAGTACACCTACCACCACCCGCTTTGCTTTAAGATTTGCTTTATCTTTCTACATAGTTTGACTAACTCTTTGAGAATAAGTTGACTCACCATGAGCCTTCACTTCAAAATACTTCATTGTGAATGTCCTAAGAACACAGTCATTCTCTTCCATAATCAGAGCACAGTTGTCAACATTAGGAAGTTTAATGTACATACACTTCTGTTATTGTCCATATACCAGTTTGTACATGGACTCAATATTGATGTACAGAGCAGTTTGAAATTTAATTTTTGAGCCAATCAACTAACAAGATTGATATTTATGATCTTACTGGTCTTCATTCCCAGCTGGGTGCCCAGAGCTCCTGTCCTCTACAAGGGTGTTGTCTGATCTAGTGACCAAGACCCCAGGCCAAGCTCACAGGACTGAGAGCACCGGCTAGACTGGGTGGGTCTAAGCAATGCCCTGGCAGGGCTTTTGTGGTGATGATCCCTTTTGATGACAGACACTAACAGTCTCTTTTTCTGGGGCAGGTACACGCTCCCTCAAATGAGTGAGGAAGGTGGTTCAAACTGTGGGAGGTGATGACAGGAATTTGGAACCTGACAGCACAGGTTCAGAGCTCAGCACCAGCATTTACTGGTTCTGTGATACTGACAAGCACTTAAACCTTCTCAACCTGCTTCTTGTCTGGTAACCGAGGGAATGACAAGACTTACTTCCCAGAGCTACTGTTATCATGGAGATAATTCTCAGTGTCTGATTGGCAACTGCAGAGGGGGATGTGTTGCTCACTGTTACTTAGGTGTCATGTCAGCAGCTTGGGGCTAGATTCCTGGCTCTGAGACTGAGGGACATCACTCACTTCCCAGATTCATGTCCTCACCCACAAATATGGGAAAAATAGAAACTAACACAATATGTTGAGAATTAAGTGAGATAGCATTTAAGACTGTACTCAATGCAGTTTGCTATGAGCATGGATGATGATGATGATGATGATGAGCATTTATCATGGTCCAGATTCTATTCTATGTTAAGCACTTTGGCTGCTAATCTACATTTAATTCACAGAAAAAGCCATTTTTTTCAATATGAGAAAGTTAAGCTGTAGAAAGGACATATGTTTCTCAAGGTCAGTCTTACTGCCACAGGTAGCCTTTTATTTCACTTGGGCCTTTTCTTAAGACCCAAATGTCAAATTCTCGGCAAAGTCTGAAAGGCTTTGAAGGATATTAATTGGAGGGGAAACTGTGGACAGGGACTCAAGACTTAACTTCAAAGAGATTGACTGAACTGTGAGGAGAGGGGAAAAAGAAAATGCTTTCTAAAAAGGTGCTGACCTGAGGAGAAGCACTCTCACACATGCTCCCACTCCCATCTGTGAAGGACAGAAGAGGAAGAAAGGAATCTCATTTTAATCTCTGTCCGTGGGGCTCAAAGGGGGGATGGGAGGAGACACCTAGCAAGTCCCAGCAAAGGCTGTCCTCATCTTGCTCCTGGACCTACGAGCATCAGCACTTCAGGTGTTTTCATCCCAAGGACAAGGTCCACCTGAGAGGAAATGAAGTGGCAGCCACATCCTCGGCACCAGTAGAGGCAGAATTGCCAGGTGATGGAAGGGGCATTTGTGCCAGATGGTGAGGGTACATTTCACAAAGTGCGGGTGCAGGAAGAGTCCGTGCCAGATGGTGAGGGTACATTTCACAAAGTGCGGGTGCAGGAAGAGTCCGTGTCCATGAGCACTGTGTCTGTGTGTGTCTGTGTGTATGTCCTTATCATGAAACACATAAAACTGCTGTGGTGTGCTCCTATGACAAAAGGTATTGAAGAGAGAAAAGGAAGTCTGTGTTACTGTAATAGCATGGACTAATCTTGAAAAAAGTTCATCTAGTTCAGCCTTGATAAGGGATTAATGATCTTCACATGGCTCAGAACAACTGAAGCAGGAGGTATGCTCCACCCAGCTCTTTCCACGAGTGCCATCTTTGTGGCTGATTGCCAAGTCGTGTGCCGGTGGTGAGCACAGGTTTTGGAGTTGGGCAGGGCCTGAATCCCAACTCCATCCCCTTCAATGGGGTGACCTTAGGCAATGGCCTGCCTTTTTGCACCTCCTCTGCAACTGTGGACAAGCGTGGGCTTGTGAGAAATGAATGAGGACTGTAAAGCACTTTGAGGACTGAAGGCATCCAACATGTGCTCAATGAAGAGCATAACAATAAGCCAGAGATCACAGGCCCCCAGTCCACCCACCAGTAGGTGAGGGCCTGTCACAGGGCTTATCTGGCCACTAGTGAGACAGCCTTGCTTCATCCCTAAATCATGTCACTCCTTGTCACCCAGGGACTGGGTGTCATTGCCAATACCAATGCCTTTTACCCTATTGTCTATCTTAGAAAAGAGAAATATTTCTCTTTACCTGTGTTTATATCAATATTGGGGACTCAAAAAGGTAAACTCAATGACACTGATAGATATTCTTAAAGGGAAGCAGCTATTATTCCTACCTGTTTATTATGAAGATAACCAGAATGACTCATTCCTGTGAACTCCTAACCATTAGAGTTATTTAAACTTGTTGCCGCTGAGTTTTGTGCCATTGAAGGTGAAGGCAAACACAGCTATCTGGGTGTCAATAAGAAATATCCTATATTCATAGAGAATCTCAGGAGAGGTCACCTGGGAAGTCTATTTCCCGCCCATCTGCATAGACCATGGGATGAAAGTAGCAAATTGAAATTTGGATGAATGACTGCAAAAACATAAACGAGTGTTTATAAAAAGTTGCTTTAGAACAGAATGGAGACACCTCACTTTGAAAAATTCCTCGGGGAAAAATACAAGTTTTATCTCAAAGACCTTTAAGTGATTCAGGAGGCTCAGGTACCTGATAGGTGTGCATGCCTGCACGTTCCTTAGAACTTATTTCTGTGACTAGAAAAGCACCACGATCTATCTCAAGGAGATCACAGCGCTTCCCCTTCTCCCTGGTCCCACTGAGAGGACGACTTGGGAAGTGATCCTTGTTGCTCTCCTCAGAGCCCCTCTGCCGGTGCAGAGAGCAGAGGTCAGTACCCATAGGGAACACTGGACACCGTTCATTCCCTGCTCCCTGCTTTATTTTGAGGTATTTCTAAAATTGCTATCAATTTTGCTTCTTTACAGTACAAAGCAGTTGATCCCAGCTACTAACATGCTTCTCACAATGAGCATAGTATATGGAGCAACAAATGCAAAACAAGTAAAAAAGGGGGGGTAAGAGGGAGAGGATATTACAAGCCATCTAAAACAGATGCATTTCCCCTTGTAGCAGTTCTTACAAGTCGGCATGATCTTGCTGAAGTTCAGGTTTCCAGCAGTTTCCAGCTAAACAAGCAGTTAGGCTGAGCAATAACATGGAGGATTGAGTCCAGTCTTTAGCAGAGTAGCAACTGTCAACTGTAGTAACATAACCACCTCTTAGACATGTTGGGCATCCCTCAGTGACTCCCACATGTACAGCCTAAATGGTGTAAGGGTGAAACTCACCACCAAGAGCTTTTGCTAAAGGCTTCTCTGGACACAGCCCAACACTGGACCTTGGACAAGAAAGGAAGCATCTTGTTCCTGAGATTAAAGAATTTCTAGTCTTGTCAGCCCATAAACAGAGATAGATAAACCTGAAATATAGGCTGAGTCAATAAGCAGCAAAGTATTTAATATCATACATAAACTACAGACAATGAGAACGTCAGTGGTGATTCCGTGGGAGGGACAGGACTCAGACTGTGAGCTCCCAAGAGCAAGCATCTGCTGTGTGGGTAGATGAACGTTGGGGAGCAAATGGCAGTGTGTTGGGCAGTGTCCTCTGTATGATCACATTTAATCTCCACTTCACAGAAAGGGAAACGGGCTCAGGGCACAGGAAGGGTTTTTGACCTAAGTCACAGTAATGGCTACAGTCATCTGTCCTCCTTTTCAGCTCCCAGTGGCCATGTCTTATGACGAGGACTGACGGAGGAGAGAGCATCTACTTTGAAAATAGACAAACCTAGGTTCAAATCCCCATTCCTTCATGTTCATTAATGAGACAACAGGCAAATTCTCTCAGTTTTCTCATCAGACCAATGAGTGTGACATCACCCATCTATGAGTTGTAGTGAGATCAAATGCACCCGCCTGTGTAAAATGCCCATCTCACACTATGTGCTCAATACACCATAGAGGTTATTGTTATTCTGTGAGGGAGAATGGAAAGAGCATAACATTTGTCGAGTGTCTATTTACTATTTGCATACGTTATCCATTTCACATGCAACTTAAAGCAACTGTTAAAGGATTAATTTTTTAACAAAGTTAAAATCATGACTCTCTTAAAATGTAAAATAAACATTTCAAGTATTGTACCAAGCTTAATAATTAATTAATGAGGTAACTAGAAAGATTTTACAACATATTCAAAGGAGAATTTAAAAACACACACACACACATATAGGCAATAAAGAATACTGAGATGAATTTACAAGTTTATGAAAAATTGGTTGATATCCATAGGGATATCAATTACATCCCACTGGACAAAATTTATTTGAATTTCTATGTTCAAGAATGACTTGTGCTACCACATTTTTTCTATAATTTACAGAGTTGTGAACTAGCTCAAGGACAATGAAAGTGTCCGGCCTATGTATAACCAGATAATCTGGAACAGTTACTCAGCACATTTTTAATTTTTGCTCATTTTAAATCTTTTTGCAATATTTTCTGATTATTATCCGCAGTTACAGTTATGGAAACCGGCTCATAGTGGCTGGGTGATTTGTTCAGAGTCACTAAAAGTATACAAGGCAATGTCTGGATTCAAACCCATCTTTCATGACTCCACATTAGAGTGGCTTTATTTGAGGGGCTGAGATTTGTTATTTTGTTTTTGTTTGTTTTTAGGGGATGAACAACCAATACATCCGACGAGAAGTCTTTTGCTGTGAAACTTGTCACGAGCTCAAAAGCTTCTGGGAAAAAGAAATTAGCAAACAGACTTACTACCGGGAGCTGGAGGAGGATCGTCAGGGAAGGAGCGCCCTGAGGAAGTATGTGGGGGTTTCTCTACTACTTTTGAAAGTAGGGTTCCCCAGAAATAGAGCAGATGTGAAGATGGGGAGACTGGATGATTTCATTACCCATTGTTCTGAGAATGCGAATGCTGGCTGTGGTGTGATAAAGTTGCTGCAGACAATAAGAAGGAAGAATGAGGGCTCAGGGAGGGGCCACCACGGGCCATGCAGAGCCACAGCAGAAACACCAGCTTCTCATCAGGTGGCAGAAGACAGAACCCAAGGGAAAGTCTAAGCCAGAGCCTTTCCTGGGGTCTCCATGGGAAAGGCGAGGAAGGGCAGGTAATCAGGTTGGGACTGTTACCTGAATAATTCCAGTGGTTTTATTTAGTCTATAGATGTGGTCCCTAGCTGCCTGGTCCCTTGACGTGGGATGATTTGGGACAGAGGAAATATGGCTTCACGGGGGACAATTAGATAAGCAAGTAGTTGGGGTCATAGGAGCAGGATTGATCTAGATGCTTAGCAGCCAAGCTTTTTGCTCTAAGAGAGGGCAAGCCCTGGATGGGCAGAGTTTATGTAGCCAGCAAGAGTTTCAAGATGTCAGAATATCATAAAGTATAGAAAATTAAAGACATGTTAAACTCCTCTACCCCATTCAGTTTTACCACAATCTATACCAGCGTTTCTCAACCTCAGCACATTTGACAGTTAGGGCCAGATAATTCTTGTTAACTATCTCCCAACATTAATAAATGTACCGTGGAAGGCATAGTCACCCCATTGAGAACCAATGACTTGTAGATAAAATGAGCATTTTTCTATAAATAACAATGAGGTTCTAGATGAACTACAAAATATCTCCCCATCCCGCCTCTGTTACCATCCCTAGCACATGAGATTATACTAAATTTCAGGATTAGGTCAATAGGTATGTGTAAGTGTGAAAGATCCCACGTCCGGGGTTATACATATTAAGATCTGTGCGGGAAGGCTGGTGTGGTCTTTTCCTCATTGGCAAATGAACTTGTGTTCTAGCCAAAGGAGTTCAGTCAGAGGAGAACATGTACTTATGTGAGAAGACATGTGTCACATGTGTCAACATTACTCTGAGGAAAAGGAGCAGCACCTACCCACACATGTGCAGAGCCTTGCAGCACACGAATCAGCTCAGTTTTTCAGGGACTGTCTATGTTTTCTCTCCCTAAAATAGGAGCAGCCCAGCCAAGTGTTCTGTTTGCCGAGATATCCACTCACAAGAGGAGTGGTGGCTGGGCCTTCTGCTAGTCAGCAAGGCACCGTGCCTCCATGTTTGTGAGCATGCCGAGCTGAAAACAAGTGTAATTCACATGTGCTGAGTCAACATGAACTTATAAAAACCTTTCTTAGCCCCTGAGGGTAAATAACCTATCTCCACACCCAGACAGGAGCTCTGCCACCAACCCAGCTTCATTCCCATGTAATGTGAAAACCAAGCTCTTCTGCACGCTGGAGCCCACATGTTAGAGTATCCAGTCCTGGCGATTCCAGGAAAGCAAGAAGTGTTTGTGGCAGGGTCCCGGCCATCTTCCTCCACTCAGTCCTGGTCCACAAGCTCATGGAACCAGATGCCAGTAAGAACCCTGTACTGCAGTTTCCTTTCCAGAAGCTCTGGGTGCAATATTAAAAGCAAAACTTGCAATATGATCTGATTTGGTCAAAATAGTTGTCTATATGCACACATACAAAGTGTACCTGTATGTACAGGAAAAAGGATAGAAAAAATACACTCAGGTATTAAGAGTGGTAAAATTTGACTCTTGGCATGGCAGAGTTTGTGTGTGTGCTCTATTTTCTCCCAGGTTTCTATAACAATACTAGTAGCCCAGTGCACAAAAATTTGTGCACTCAGGGCGGGGGGGTTGTCCCTCAGTTATTAAACATTTATCGGCACAACACTGACCACACTGGTGGTAGTGGTCGTCTTGTCAGAATGTGTTATATATGCAGATGAAAATCTATTTAAACAGATTTGATGTAGATATTTTCAAAGATGGAAGAATTGTCCCTGTCAACTATTTTAGTTGATTCATATCTTCAGTAATTGTCATCATTGCAAAGTTTTCAGTGCCCCCTATGGATTGCTGGATATAATAGGTCATGTGCTGTCCCTGTCCTTTGTAGCCTTTGTGACCTTAAGGAGGACTCTAGTTTTCCATTTATCTGTTTAAGTACCAACCTTACCAGCTTAAAAATGTAAGCTTTTAAGACTGCTCTCTCTGTTCCGTATCCTTCCGATGAAAAGTGGAGTTGGGTTGCAGCACAGGAGAGAAATTCAGAAGGGGAATATTGAAGTAATGACAGCAGTAGGAGAAGAGGGAACCTATTTCCCTGGCCACAGGCACTGGCACCTGGGGCCACAGGGCTGGCAGCTTCTCTGGGTGGCTGCAGCCTGGGACCTCGGGCGGGTTGCTTGTCCATCTCCTGGGCTGCAGCCAGCCATAGGCACTGGTGCCTGGACCAAATGTGGACAGCTTCTTCTTCTGGTGGCTTCTTCTTCTTCTGTGCTTCCAGGGAGGGCAGTCAGTTATGTGTATATGTGTGTGCATGCAAATATAGGCATGTACACGTGTGTATGTGGAAATCTGCTGGGCAAGTCAAAACTATAGAAGAGTTGCTCCCTATCTCTTGAATCTTCCAGAGATATCCCCCACTTTTTTATTCTATCACTACTGGAGAGTCAGTATTTGCAGCCATCTAGCCAGTGGCTCTCTCCGTGTCTATTTCTGACTTATTCTTTCCCTGTCTGTCTTCCAACCCCTAATCATATTTATACCTGGATGCATCATTTTTACTCCCAATATGCTGTATAGAGAAGGAGTCAGGATGCTGTCTTCCCATGAATAGTACTCAGTAACAAAACAATTGCATTTTAGTTGGGCAATGCCCTTACCCACCCTTCAAATCCCTTCCACCATGCATTTCTGTTTCCCTTTTTGTTTGTTGGATTATTCTCCTGCTCCTTCTCCTCACCCCACCACCCTTGGATCATAATGTAAAATTCTTTTACCATGTCAAGAAATTATTAAAAGTACAGGTACTTTGAAAAAAAAATGCAGGTACTTCTCCGAACACCGACTGGGGGGGGGGGGGGCAGGGAAGAGGTGGCTGCTGGTGGCCACCTCTTCCCTGACCCGCCCGGCTTCTCTGATCACTGTCAGCGGCAGGTGGCTTCTTCCGTCCTTCCCTTTTCGCCTTCCAGCATTGTGCCTACATTGGCATGTTTGTTGGCAGTTAATTTGCATATCACCCTGATTAGTGTAGCGAAGGTACAGTCAATTACCATGTTTGTCTATTATTAGATAGGATTGTACCATTTTGTAATTAGAGAATGAAATATAGAAAAGGCAACCAAATGCAAATGGTGCATACAACAAATGCATTAATTCTTCAGGCTCCTATATGCCACAGAAATGACCTTGTCAAAGTTGGGTTAGTTTGCTCCTCTTCCACAGGAAACATAATAAATCTTTTAAAATGTGAACTTTGATTAAAAATGGTGGTGGCATAAGTGGATGCTACACAGACATACTCCCAGGAGCAAACTGAAAAGACAACTAAAATTTTTTAAAAAAACAACAACCGCCGAGGCCGGTTTGGCTCAGTGGATAGAGCGTCAGTCTGTGGACTGAAGGGTCCCGGGTTCGGTTCCGGTCAAGGGCATGTACCTGGGTTGCGGGCACATCCCCAGTGGGAGATGTTCAGGAGGCAGCTGATCGATGTTTCTCTCTCATCGATGTTTCTAGCTCTCTATCTCTCTCCCTTCCTCTCTGTGGAAAATCAATAAAATATATTAAAAAAACAACAACAACCATCCTGAATAATCAACTAGCTGGAGAGAACCCTAATAACCAAGGACGGAAAGTGGAGACCACGTAGAGACTGGTAGGAATGGCGAAGGTGGAAAAGGGCTCTCTGGGCTTCCACAGACAGCAGCTGAAGTCCTGGAGAGATAGCTCATCTGTGGGGTTTTCTGCTGAGAACTCTGGGTCTAATCCCCAAGCTGGGCCCCCAACACAGAGCACCAGAACTGAGAAAGGTACTCACATAACCCGGCTGTGAAAAGCACTAGGGCTGTTGTCTTCCAGGGAGAGACAACTGGAAATGTAGACACCCTCTTAAAGGGCCCACACACAAAATTTCATGTGCAGCCACTCACCTTGGGCTACAGCAGAGGGAGGGCAGAGTGGACTGAAGCTGCATAAGCATAAGCCAGGGTTGAGGGCTCTGGGGTTTTCTGTCCTGAGTCATTCCCTCACACCAGAAAATACTAGACTTAAAGATGCACTCAGCAAAATAGCAGGATACAAAATCAACATCCAGAAATCAATGGCATTTTTATACACCTTTAATGAATTCTCAGACAGAGAAACTAAAAAAGGTATCCCAGTTACCACTGCAACAACAACAACAACAAAAATAAGATATTAAGATAGCTCGGAATAAACTTAACCAAGGAGGTAAAAGACCTATTCTTGTAAAACTATAAGACATTGAAAAAAGAAATAGAGGAAGATACAAATAAATGGAAGCATATACCATGTTTATTAATTAGAAGAATTAACATCATTAAAATATCTATCTACCCAAAGCAATCTATACATTGAACACCATCTGTATTAAAATACTAGTGGCATACTTCACAGAGCTGGAACAAATACTACAAAGACTTATATGGAACCATAAAAGATCCCAAAGAGCTGCAGCAATATTGAGAAAGAAGAACGAAATAGAAGGGATCACAATACCGGATATCTAGCTATACTACAGAGGCATTATAAACAAGACACCCGGGTACTGTCACAAAACAGGCATATAGACCAATGGATCAGAACAGAGACCCAGAAATTGGCCCACATCATTATGTCAATTAATATTTGACAAAAGAGGCAAGAACATACAATGGAGTAAAGACAGCATCTTTAACAAATGGTGTTGGGAAAACTGGACAGACACATGCAAAAAGATGAAAGGAGACCACCAGCTCACACCATACA